AGTAACAACGTAGTCGCCGTAAGGCGGGATCCGAGATCTCCTTACTAGCACCTCAAACTTGTCTTCAACAGGTATATCACGGCCTGTCAGTAGTTCTTGCGATGTCAGTTTTGGCAGCTCACTTTGACCAGGGCCAGCCTCCCGAAGATCATACACCAGGTATCGCTGAGCCTGACCACCCACCAAGGCCGCACTGCCGAAATTCACAGGGAAATTTCTACCAAGGAGGTCCTCTGGGTGCGTGCCGAAGGACGATAAGTGCTCGCGAACTAGTCCTCTTATGCTCGATAATACTCCACGCCAGAATTCTGTGCTTGGATTAGCTCTTAGTAGCTCGCCGAGTATGTTTGCACCAAGAAATGATCCCTGTAGGAGCGCCGCTAGTTGCATGCCCAGAGATGCCAGTTTCGGATGATCATCAGGATCCATGCTTCCGAAGGCAAGTGCCTTGAAGTAGTACCAGTACTCTTCTTGAGACAGACTCTTCAGCCTGATGGGTTGAGCAGTCCCCAAGTTTGCAACTTGCTCTGCTCTGCCTGTTACTACAATTTTGATCCCAGCACCTGGCAACTTCTGCAAATATGATTGGAAGTTTGTCCATGCTGCCTCATCCACATCGAAGATGAAATCCACGACAAACAAGTACTTCCCTGAGGCTGCCTGGTTGTTCAATGCAAATACTCCGTTCGCTAGATCATCTCCTTTGAAGAAAAACATGTGGGAGAAACGATTGCACACCCTCTCATCCTTGCAAGCATGTTGCACCAGTGTTTTCTTCCCGATTCTGTGTGGGCCGATGATCGGCAGGATGCTAATATGTGTGCAATCGTGACGACTGTCATCACATAGCAAGAAGTTGATAAGTTGCTCTTTCTCGACATGGCGACCAAACATGCACTTATCCATGTATAGGTACATACAGTATGGCTGGCGAGGAAGACGAGGGCAGCTGCCGAGGAGCACGACAAACTCTCTCATATCTGCAGTCGTAGCCTCTAAGCTTTCAAGAACACTTTTCAACTTTGTTGTGCTCCTGGTACCAAATGCTATCGGTGTGTTCTTCATCATAGAAGCAGCAACAGCAAAACGAAGGCGCTTGGCGGTGTTAAAAGTAGAAACGGCAAGAGATTGGCTCCAGTGACTCACCTCATCATCTGCAATGCTCTCTTCTCCAAGGGGTTGGAACTTGAGCCTGTCAAGCATGTAGTACCCGAGATACACGCCCTCCATGAGTGTCTTCAGCTGCAGGAACATCCCTCGATTTGTGATGTGCCGCCCCTCTGCTTCCTCAACAACCATGTTCATCCTTAGCAAGATGCGTTCCAGCCTTCTACGGTCCTCCTCACATGCTTGAGTGCCATAATTTTGCGCCAGGAAAGAGATGAACCGGCTGACAAGATCACCTGTCACAGCTGAAATCAGAACCTCCATGCCAAGATCTGATTTTAGTTTGCAAAGAAAGTAGTTATTTCAAAGGTGGGGAAATAAGGTCAAGAAAAACAGCAACCCAGGGTTATATGACAACAAGGTCAAGAAAGACAGCAACCCAGGGTTATATGACAACGACAGAAATAAATTCATATGATGAGGTGGCTCGTTCTAACACTCATGTACAAAGTTTCCTTTTTGTAACTTGTTTCTACCTTGAGCCCCTTGAGCCGGAGGACCTTTTCTCAGTTTGTTTTCTGTTGCACCTCCGCCTTCTCGATAATGGTCGACGATGGTGAGGATCAGTGGCTGGAGCACCTCAGCTTCTTCAGGTCATCCTCCATCACTAGCAACTGTAGAGATAAGCATCTATATTGTGAGCCTTGACCAGGAAGCAATTATCCATAACTTTTTCTTTCTTTAAAAGAAACATAGCACTAAGGTGGCTAAAAGTCAAGAAATGGAACTGCCAGCACAATGATTCAAAGGTGTGGGCATGTGGCTGAAGCCAGTTAGTCATCGTACACAGACTGGGTTAAACTGAATTGACCATACACATTAGACTAGTCAGAAGTGTGATGTACTTTCCTTCATGAGAATTATATGGCATACACGACTCGATGTAGCAATAGGAAGTGACTGCACGAAAGTACCTTTCTACACCTGAGCTCATATGCTCCTGCTATGAACAGTAAAATAAATAAAATAGAAAAACATTTCAAAAAATTCTAAATTTTTTTGTGGCATACTTTAAGAAATGTTTGTTGTGCATGCAAAATTTCATCACCAAACCACATTGGTGGAGGTTGTGGCCAAAAAAAACAAAATCAGAGCTCCAAAATGCGTTTGAAAGTAACATTTTTAGAGTATCGATTTTGTTTTTTTTACCATGCCTTCCACCCATGTCATTTCATGACGAATTTTTGCATGCACAACAAACATTTCTTAAAGTATGCCACAAAAATATTTCAGAATTTTTTGAAATGTTTTTCTATTTTATTTATTTTACTGTTCATAGCAGGAGCATATGAGCTCAGGTGTAGAAACTCCACGTCCCTGACTGCACTTTACATATCCCATTTAACAACTGCATATCAGCAAAAAGGTTCAAACTACATCTAGACTAAGGATGGGGATGCAGATAACTCCTCCGTGCACCTCTGTTGGCCAAATTAACATTCACGCTGATGTTTTTTATGTGCCAGGTGATTCTTCTTGCTGATGCTACGACGGTGCTTCTGTTCTTGTAAGTAAAAAACATAATCACAGTAAGGCAGGATCCGAGATCTCCATCCCAACACCTCAAACTTATCTGCGACAGGAACACCTCAGGACGGGTGTCAGTAGCTCCTGCGATGTCAGCTTTTTTTTTTTTTTGAGAATCACCGGGGGAGGAGTTCCTCCACCTGAATATATTACTCAAAGTGGCCAAAATGCCAGAGGAGTGATCCAGTTTATAAGGAAAACCGGATCGAAAACCTGAAGAAATTGACCCGTTTATAAGGAAAACCGGGCCGAAAACCGTACAAGGCATGACCAAGCTAGTAGGCATAAGACCATCACCATGAGAGACGCAAGTAGATGTGGGGTGTCGTCGGGAGATCACAATACCAGGACTTTGCAAACAGCCGAACACATCGGCGAGCATACCAGCCCCCACGGCACAACTCAGGAGCATCCACAATCAACGAGTGTCATCCCAGACACGAACCTTGACTGGGGCTCCGCCACAGGAAATCGGAACGATTAGCAAGTTTGAAAGGCATCTTGCGCCATCCTCGAGCAAAGATGAGCTGAGGCAACACCAAGAGCACGAAGCTCGCCGCAACACAATGGCAACCATGAGAGGGTCTTGAGCAACCATTACCAACCTGAGCTGCACGAGAACACCACCACCGTAGACGAAGAGCTCCAATCAACCGAGACCATCCATGGTGCCTCAAGGCTATTGGTGCAGCCGAAGGGCAATGAGCGACCGAGTCCACACCCGGACGAAGAGTCACACGCAGCCGAGGCTACAACACAACAGCGGCACCGCCGGCGAAGCCGAAGGGCATCAAGGAGCCGAGTCTACACCCGGATCGCTTCACCGTGCACACCAGCGCAAGCCGGCCGCACCACCACCACTCCACCACCACATCACACACCACCGTCGACCCCAGTCGGCCGCACAAACAGACCACCAGCCGCACCTCCTTCATCCACACACACCAACACTAGCCGAAGTTCGTGTCTCCAAGATGGCGCCTCCAAGAAGGGAATGATGCCAGAGACACCACCGCCACCCAATCCGGCAAGCCCGACCATAGGTTTTCACCCGGAAAACAACGAAACAGGAGGTTTGCGGCTGAAAAACAGCTCCACGGCGGGCCCCTCCGCGAGGAAAACGACAGCCACAGCCGCCGTTGCCACCGGCGTCGACCAAGTCGACCCAGAATTTTGCATCCGGAGCATGAGCAACCAACAAACCATGACGGCATCTTCAGGGCGTGTGCTGCCCGGATCTTACGAGACCACATCGGCGCGCACCGGATCTGGGCAGAAATTAGTCTGCCCCACCGAGCACAGGAACAGCCAGGGTCGCGCCTCCCCGAGCTGGAACAGTCGCTCGCCGGAGAAGCCGAGGGCCGCCGCAAGATGCAGCGGCGCACAGAGGCAAGCCGGATCGAGACAGCGCCGAAGGAAAGGAGCATGCCAGCCCCCGACGCACCTGAGAAGGACGAGTAAGTGATCAGATGGGAGTTAATTTGCAAAGAGTAACACTGTTTCAGAGGTGATAGAATGAGGTCAAAGTCTGCAGCTTGCCAGAAACATATGGCATCATGATGGTGACTGAAAGCAGTTCACACAGTTGGATGCTCCTACAAAATACAAAATGTCTCTTTCGGCTCACTTATTTCCACCTTTTCATGAATACGGCTGCAGAAAACATTGTGTGCATTTTAAATATGAGCTAGTCTTCAATCAGTCCTGACCCCACAAATGGACCAAATGCAATGGCCCAGGCACTGTTGTGTTTACAAGAGTGTCACTTTCAGACTTTTTGATGTTTTCTCTATTTTGTGCAGACGGGCAAAAAAATGTTATATTTTTCAAATAAAATAATGACAACTACGATAAATCATTTCGGGGTGACCTAAAAGGCATGGTTTCAATACAACTTGGGCATCAGCCGGCCACTCTCTCCCAGTTCCTCCCTCCCTCTCTATTTGCGCTGGTTGACACCTGGTTCATAAGAGCAAAACAAACAACTAGATAAATGAGCATTCTTGCAGTAAAATCAGCAGAGCTCATATGTGAGCAAATTTCATTTTTCCACTTGCTACTTGAGACTATTCATCACTAGAAGTTACCCTAGGAGATACTCCCTCCGTCCCATAATGAAAGACGTTTTTTCAAGCTAAGATAGCTTGAAAAAGCATCTTACATTATGAGACGGAGTAGTATATGAGAAGCCAACAAGAGCAAGAGAGACAGGCTGAGATAGAAACCAAATAAGGTGGCTCACTAACCAAATACGTTTTCCTCGAAATTCTTCACTGCAACGCTTACAACAACAAAAATAAAGAACGTCATGAGCTCCTTTCTTTTAAGATTGGAGCCCAAACAGACACAGAGGTCAATGGCCTGGACTTCCAGCACAACACAAGCCTACCCTTCTCATGCACAACCTCAAACCCCCTATTGAACAACCCAACCAGCATCCTGGCCTGAGCAACATTGCAACCACTCAGGTCACAAGCCCCGTACCTTTCCAAAACCCGAGGAGCAGTGACCTCAACTGTCATAGACCCATACTGCCCCACAAAGTCTTGTATCCTTGGCCCCACCATCTCCCTCTCCACAAGTCTCAGGCACGCCCCCTGGTTACCACCAACGAAGCAGCTGGCCAGTGACTCGAACACCGTGGTAAAGTGGTGCAATGCCTCGAAGAAGAAGTCGACAAAGGAGGCCTTACATAGAGACACCTCCTTTCCGATTCTAACCAGCTCCTCTTCTACGACGACCATTAACTTTGGCTGTAACAGTTTAACACAGGCAGGTAGGAGTGCCGGTAACTTGCTCAGCAACTTGTAAGGCATGCTTGTTGTGTCGCATGAGAAGATCACCGAACCTTTACAGTTCTTGGAGAATTCATGCAGGTCTTCATCACTATGTAAACAGAGACAGCTGTACTGGAACGGGAGGTTCAAGGAGTCAGCGAACTCCGAGAGCCGCCGCGCAGATGCATGGTGAACGCCGTCGGTGTAGTCGGCGTCTGCTGTGATCGCCGTGAGGTGGAATGACATGCCGCCATGACGGGCAAGATCTGACATGAACGATGGCCACTGGATGCCCTCGCCAATGTTCAGGTCGACAACGTGCACATGTGTATCGCCCTTGGTGGCATCTAGAATGGCCTGGTTGGCAGTGAAGTGCGCAAACTTGGCAAACGGTGACAGCTCTTGTATAATCTGCTGCGCCGACATTCTGTCAGACGCCAGTGGCTCCGGCGGAGAGCAACTGGTGCTTGCACTGGAGATCCGGGACCGCAGACCTTGGGCAAAGTGGTAGGCCAGGCGATCAAAAGAGCCGGCTGCTGCATTTTCAGGGCTGCCAAGGAGGAGGCCATCAAGCCTTGAGAACACTGCCAAGGCAAATCTTGGATCCCCCGCCTCGACCGCCTCTGCACCAGTGAGGAGGAGATCAGTTAAACTGTTCTCCTCCATGAGCTCTTCCTGGATCGCGACCAAGTTGCCACTCTCTTGGCCCAGAATCCTCTCATCACAATAGGTGAACACACCAAGATCAGAAGCATCTTGTTGATGCCAATCATTAGCATAATCTTGAGCTGCAGTGTCCAAGAACACATTATCAGGTTGCTGATCAGTGGGATGATCAACATGGATGGTGGCATTCTCGTGGAGAGCTACTTGAGGAGACCACATGAAAAAGCTGCTCTCTTCATGTGTGGGGAGGGAGAGAAGAGGGGAACAAGGATATGACATGGTCTCCATTTTAGTTGCTATCTACGATAAGAATTGCCTTGATGTGTAGCCTCACACCGTGTCTTATAGAGAAACCACATGGCGGAGGGGCAAGAGATTAGCAGTGGAGAAAAGAGAATGTGTGGACCCCACCTTCATGGCTGATGCATGCTAAATTGTCCTGATCTTGGAGCCTAATGCAACATGGATTGAGCTAGAGGTGATTGGCTCTTGTGTAGTTCCCCACCAACTTCACAGCATACATACATACCCCCCAAAACATCACAATAAAAATAGAAGAGAAAAAGCATACGTGTGCAATGTGTCATTTTGCTGGCCTGGCAGAATGAAACAGAAGGGACTGCGAATACGCTAATGGCATATTCCAAGAATTCTTCTTGCTACGTGGCAGCATCTAGTCAATTGTTGGACTATGTGCTGTTGCTACTTCAAAGCTGCTATGGCCTGCACATATGTGCCAATGGCAACGTAGAGCGGCAACAAAATGCGACCTAGATGCAAATCATATGATTTGAACTTTTGTGCTCAAGAAATGGTTTCTTAGTACTATATTATATCTCTTTAAAAATATAAGTACCGCTTCATTCAGTCTGATACAGAATTAATGTTGACGTTTAATACTTAAACATTATTCATGATCATTGACCAGCCCAAACCAAGTTAATTTTGTCATGCTAATGTGTGTACAAATTATTTGTGGTGTAATAAATTCATGGCACCAACTTTCTCCCAAACTGGATTCTTTATTTGGTACCAATCAGGTATTCATAAAGCCCATTATTGTAAGGTGATACAAATTATTGGCAGATTCTGATGGAGTTATGAGATGTAGACAATAGAGTAAAACTAAAAGAGGGCAAAGCTGCTTGTCTCAAGGAGTAGAGCTGTTGCAAAGTGGAACTTACAAAACACAAGCGTAGGCCACACAGATTTCCTGGTTCCAGGCTGCCTCTTGCTACGAATCTGAATGTTTCTCCTGCCTTCCCGCCTGGCAATTCCAAAATGATCGTTTCCAGAAACTACCAACAGCAGGAAAATCTGGATGGAGTCCAACCACGTCCAGCTTTTCACTGACTATTTCAGAACTTCAGATTACAAGTGCACAAATGGTGTGTTCCGGAGAGCTTTCAGCATTGTATAATTTTTTTTCTCTGGAGAGAGTCTGGATGATTCCACTGAGGTAACTAAATATTTTTTCCTGCACTATGCTGAGATGTCTTTATTACAGGACAAGCAAAGCTGGCAACATCTGCACATTGTCAAGAGTAACATTGTGAATTTACTTGGTCATGGAATATTGTTGTGTTCGACCAGAAAAAGAAAAAGATGCCAAAGTACAACTGTAAGAGTGTAGACAATATGATGTAAAAGAAATAATCACTTTAAAAAGGATCTTGGCAGCATGGTACTTTTCATCACAACCAGCAGTACAACTGCCTTCACAACCGGACATTAAGTATCATATGCCCCCACCACACCCTACAAGATTTCGTCATAGAGGGCTCAAATTAATTCCTTGAGATTTGAGACTAACAGGAATGGTTGTATGGTCCATTTTGTCAACGATGCGAGAGCCTAGCATGCTCAGGAAACATGCTCACTGACATCAAATGAGTTAAGGACGGCAGGTGGATACCTAATTATCATCATAATCATAGTTGGTAAGCACTGCTGCTGGACAAGGAAAGAAACTATTAATTAGACAATATAAATCAAATATGCAGTATTATATGGTAATACATTGATGGAGTCAGCATTTGCCTAAAATTCCTGAGTGGGCAATTCGAATATCCAATGACCACGCCAGGTGAGAATAAGAATAAAGGTTTGAAACAAGTGGCAGAGGTCAGAGGGTTTAAGCTGATAATAGAGAGCTTCTCAAATGACACTTGTCGGCATTTCACTGATGCAATGCGGCCTAACGTCTGTCAAAATATGTGAAGAAAGAACAGTGGACAAAGATCACTGAGAATTCCACCAATCAAAGCCCTATGGGGTTCGGTAGTTGAGAGGAGCCTCTCACAGCAATTGCTGAAAACAAGAGCAGCAAAACAAACTGTTGCTTTCTGTTCTGTAGCATCAGCTTGCTGGTCTCCTAATCCCCAGCTAGTTAGCAAGTCACCTAAAGCATCATCCTTTGTCTATCGATATGTTCCCTAATCCCTCATAAGATACACGGTATACTACTCAACATGGATGCCAACGGGAAGTACAAACGAAGACGCACTAGCACTGTACAGTATATGTTTGGTTTATCTGGACGAGAGGGAGGCAGAAGGTTCCGATGCCATTGATTAGACATAGCATGCTAGAATAACGTGGTTTGCCTGTGTGGCTGTGTGCTGTCCTCCTCTGAAGAACGAAACTTAGTTCTAGTACAAGAAGTTTGTCTTCCATTTAGGTAAAAAATTGAGATTAGCAAACACTAGAGGACATGCTAATTTCTGGTTTGATGCATCACTTACTAGTTGGCTAGCGTATCAACTCACTAAGAACTACCAGCCAAAACAAATTTCTCAAGGGGTCAGATATATTACAGCATGGTCCAATGAATGCATACCTCATGCAGTTCAAAAATAAACCTCTGCAATATGCCTTATTCTCAAGATAGAATCCCACGGTCACGATAGAAGACAACCGATCTCTCCTCTAGGTAAACTACAGTACAACTTGAGGCCTGTGTACATTAAAGTAAAAATTCACTGTCAACTGAGGTCAATATTTTGTTTGCATCCTACCACATAGACTTGTGTATGGTTAAACTCAGGTTTGAGTAAGCAATATATTACAGTCCAAGGGCGGCAATGCATGGTCAACTGATTTCTCTTTCAGATGACTGAGACATTACTGAAATATGAGCCTAGCTAGACGGCCGGAAATTTCAACAATTATGGGAAATCATTGAACTTTGAAATTGGAAGGTAACAGCCACTAGTACTATAGAAACTTGTCGCCATCACCTGCATAATCTAAGCTGCCTAGCTATAGAAAACATAAATACTGGCCAGTTGCTGCAAGATAGATTCCTGTTAAACAAGCTTGGCAAGCTAAGGTCGGAGCCATTCTCCAGTCAAAAAAATTTAGATAAATCTGATTTTTTTTTAGTGAGCAATAAATATGATTTGTTCCTGTTAATATGAACCGTATGACTCACCACTCAGACCACGAATAATATGAGGGGAGCATGTCATGAAGGCTTACCCTGGTTTTGTTAACAATTAGATGTTTGAATCGAATAAATTCGATGTCATTTATCAAAACAATATACATGCTCGTATTCCAACCCTTCCCCATATTAGAGAAACAAAATGCTGAGAGAAAATTGTAACCGGCGGAATACATAATTACAAATCCATGACTATCATATACTCCTAACAAGCATGGTCTCCTCCAACTCTTAAACATGGAGACCACTAGAAGTCTAGAACCCCATATTATAGACATGTTAAGAGATAATTTTAGTCCTACTGTTGAGATCGGAAGTACATTGAACTTTGAAATGGGAAGATAACAGCCACTAGTACTGTGGAAACTTGTCACCATCACCTGCATAATCCAAGCTGCCTAACAATAGAAAACTAAAGTACTGGCAAGTTGCTGCAAGAGGGGTAGATTCCTGCTAAACAAGCTTGGCAAGCTAAGGTCGGAGCCATTCTCCAAAGTCAAAATATTCCAGATAAATCTGATTCGCTTCAGTTAACGTGGACCTTCTGACTCGCGACTCAGACCAGGAAAAAATATTAGGGAAGGAACGTCATGTAGGCACCATTCCGGAGCAAAGCTTAACCTGGTTTTGCTGACAATTAAACGTTTGAATCGAATAAAATTGACATCATTTCTGGAAGCAATATATATAATCGTGTTCCAATCCTTCCCCACAACTATTAGCAAAACAAAATGCTGACAGAATTAAAACAGACGGAATGCAAAATTACAGAGTCCATGACTATCATGTGCTAATTAGCATTGTCTCCTTCAACTCTTAAACATGTAGACCGCTAGAACCCAACGTTCAAGTCATGTTCAGAGATAATTTTAGTCCTACTGCATCACCACCACATATGAACAGAATCTCACGACCAATGTAGTTTGTCTGCACTTGTCCTGCCGTCACTACTCTCGAATGACTAAAATAAAAGCACTGTAGCTAGTATTAAGAAGAACCCCATGATTATCGCATGCTAATTAGCACGGTTTCCTCGAACCGACACGCCAATGTTAGGCTGGTCATAGTGGGGAGTAACTTATACTAGTGTCATGCATATGACACTAGTCTAAGTTACTACCTTCATAGTGCAAAGTAACATAGTAGTAGTGTCATAGATGGCTTCATTTATTAGCTTGTAGACTCATCTTGTATTGGGAAGCGCTATGTTACAGTAACATATTATGTTACTACTTCTCATTAACTACTTGCCACATAAGTAAAAAAAAATTGAAGTGTGTTATGTTAGTCGCTAAGTTACTCCCACTATGACCAGCCATACACCAGCCATACACGGGAACCGCTAGAACCCAAAATTTAGGGACAGTGCATCATCACGGTAAAATATGAAACAGAATCCCAATGTGAGGGAATCCTTTGCGTCGGGTGTGGTGAACCAACACGCCAGACTTATACTACGCGGGAATCGCTAGAACCCCAATTGGCATGCTTTGCACCTGCGGTTGCACGGCTTGGTCGCGCGCGGATACGCAGGTACTATCTCTGCATCTTCCATGTGCGCACCGCGCCACCATGTGAGTATGTGACGCAAGGCTCCGAGCGGAACAGGCGTCAGCGCGTGCGTGTACCTTCGGGTTCGGGGTGAGATACCTTCGTGACCTACCTCGCGAGGGGTTGGTGGTCGGCTGACTCGGCGCCGCGTGGGAGGGGGGATCGGGATCGGAGCAGGCCGGATATGGACGCGCGAGGGGCGGGAAGGGATTCCTTGGTCGTCCAATCGGCCTCACCGGCTCCGGCGCCACCGCGATGGACGGAGAGGCAGCCG